TTTGAAAAAATTGCAGCTGTACGCTCTGGAGGGTTTTACGTAGTAACTATATCCGGACTCCGACAAGGGTTACTCGTTTTATACGTTCTCATGATGTATGTGTCGGCATTCCCCGTGCTGGTGACCATGAGAAACACCAATGTCTACGAAGAACGTTCCCTGGGCATCTACACCCACGATGACCCAAAATCCGAAGCCGAAGGCCAAGCCAAACAAGGTCTCTTCATGGGTCTCGTGCGACACCACCTGCTCGGACGCCAGGATGTCCCCACCGCCGAAGCCTCGCGCAGCTACTTTGTCCACCAACAACTGCGTTCGCAACTCAGCCACGATATCTGGTGGATTGCCCTAGCAGTCCTCTTTATCTCCATCGCTGAATCGCCCAATTTCAATCGCGATCCTGTCAGCTACTCCACCTTCAACATCATCTTTGAAGTTGTCTCCGCCTACGGCTGCGTCGGCGTTAGCGTCGGCATCCCCGGCAGGAACAGCTCGTTCTGCGGCGGCTGGCACACCATTAGCAAATTGATCCTGGCAGCAGTTACACTTCGTGGACGTCATCGCGGTCTTCCCGTCGCTATCGATCAGGCTATCATGTTGCCGAGTGATAACCTCGCCTGGGCTGAAGAGGAAGATGCTGCGATGAGACGGGAGAAAACTCTTGCCTGGGGTGCAGACAGAATGCCTGTTGGCGCTGTTTAAATCTTCTTAATACTATAGACATCATGCCGTACGTTTCCTATGTGACATTGGCACCGCTAAGGTTTCTATGCGTGGTGAGACTGTGTGGATTCGATGCAATGTGTGTCACATGGGACCATGGTGAAATTGTCGCTTCTCGTATATAAAAGTTTGTTGATACAGATTGGAATATTTGAATTATCCTGTGTTTTGTATGTTTTGCTTGATGTTATTTACTGTCTTTGCTTGGCTTATTGTTTTTGAGTTCTTATATTAGTTCATTTGTTAGATTTTATCACATATAAGATGTTTTTGGCATTCGAGATGCGTTATTGCGTAGATTGTACCTATGCATTTCAACTTTTGTATACGTCGACATCAGAGTAAAAGAAAACATGTCTTGAAATAGCTACGGGGAACCTGATATAGGGGAAAATAGTGCCATCACTGATACAATATAAATGGCGATAAAAGCATCATCTAATCCTCCTCTTCTTCGAATTCCATCTCGTCCTCGTCCTCTTCTTCTTCTTCTTCCTCCTCCTCCTCTTCACCATCTGAGGAGGCATCTTCACTACCCTCATCACCCTCACTGAAGCCACCCATCGTCACATCCTCCTTATCAGCAGCCTTCTCCTCGGCTCTCCGCTGTTCTTCTTCACGTCTCGCCTCTTCAAGAAGGGTAGCCTTCTCTTCACGGATCTTCCGCTGAGACTTGACGAATGCGCCGAGCGGAGTCGATTCCCAATCGACATCTTTGAGGAAGTTTTCCACTTCGGCACGGTTGCGCGGGGTATAAGTGACGCTGGTTCTGCGGTCTTCGATCCAGCGGGCGTTAGCCTCAACCTTCTGCACCAGAAGAAGGATCATCTGGTTGATCTTGGCGTTCTTGTTTCCTCCGGAGCGCGAGCTGACCTGCTTCAGCCAGCGCTTCAGGGAGACCACGATGGGGACGGAGAGTTCGGGGAAAGCGATGTGCTTGGTCCACAGGACGAAGAACTCGGAGAGGAGCTCGGCGACCTGTTCGCCGACGCCGTCTTGGTAGACGCGGGTGCGGAGGTAGGATTTCGGGGCGCGGATGGCGGTGTTGAAATCGAGTTGTTTCAGGGTGCTTGATTTCGGGGGCTTGCGCATCTCGGCGAGGTTGAGGACCTCGAGGAGGGCCGGGGCCAGTGGGACGTAGGTTCCTGTGGAGCGGGAGAGACGGAGGAGGGCGCGGGTGAGTTGGAAGCGGAGAGGGAAGTAGGTTGCGGTGGGGATGAGTCGCATCGCGCCGACGGTGATTTGGACGACGGGGTAGATGAGGGGGCGCATGGCGGATTGCTTGCCGGCTTTGGCTTCGGCGAGGCCATCGCAGTGCTGCGAGAGAACGCGGGACCAGAAGTCGAGCGAGTGCACGTACTGCCAGTTGTAGATTGTCTTGTAGGACTCCTTGGAGGTGTTTGTGATGCTGCTGCGGAGATGGATGGCAAGTTGGCGGATGAAGTTGAAGCCCGCGGTGTAGGACACGTTCTGGTCGATACCCCACAGCTCGGCGGCGGAGTTCTTCATCAGGTTCACGCCGGCCAGAGTGTGGACGGTGGTGTTCCGGCTGCCCTTCACGACACCCTCATAGGAGGCCTTGAGGACACTTTCCTTCAGCCCAGCGTCTCCGATAACCATGAGACGCCGTAACAGCAAGAATCCGGTGATACGTGTGGCTTCCGTAGTGGACACATCGGCCCAGATACCGACAATGGTTTTGATGAGAACCTTCAGGAGCTTCCTGAACTGAAGCAAGTAAGGAAGCATAGGTTCAATAGAAGAGAGTGTGAGCTTCAGTGTCTGTGCATCGGACAAATTCGTGAGCAATTGGTGGACGGAGGAGGTATAGGACTTGATAAGAGGCGTAAGCGTCTTGAACTTCTTCGAATCCATAGACACCTTGACTTTGCCGGAGGCAGTCTCCTTGACGGGGAGATGATGCGACAGAACTCTAGGAACAGAGCCAAGGGCGGTAACAAGAACTTCATGGTATACATCGGATTCTCTGATAGAGTATTTTTGCTCCTGGGCGTCAACGTCGTTGAGGTAGGCGGCAGACCGGAAAGCGAGGACAGCCTGTCGCATTGCTCTAATTGAGTTCTGCTCTTCCATCAGCTTTTGCCATTTCTTTACCATGGCAATGGTGAGTGTGTTGTCGGTTGTCGGTTCCTCTTCCTCCTCCCGGGCAGCCTTCTTTTTCTTCTTCGCTGGCTGCTCTTCCTCCGCTTCACTCAGCTCGTCCACTTCCGCAAGATCACCATGGTCACCGAAGTCCAGGAGCTCGGCGTCATTCTCCTTGAGGTATTTATAGAATTCTGGATCCTTCTCCTTCAGGGCTTCAAGCTGGTCCTTGTGCGCTTCGAAATCGTCGGCTCCACTGGCGTCCGAGGCCGCCTCGTCGTCTGATGGGACACCGTCTTCCTCTCCGCTGCTTGCTGCAGAATCTTCATCCTCGCCTTTCTGTTCTTCCGTGCGCTTGCGCTTGCCAGTCTTAGGGGTGACATCCTTCTTCTTAGCCTTCTTAGCTTGACCGGCATCGGCGTCTGCAATATCGAAACCGCCCGAAAAGAAGTCGTCCACATTCATCTGAGCAAAAGCATCCTGTTTCTTCGTTTCCTCCGGATTTTCGTCTGCGGAATCATGAGCATCGGCGCGTGCCTTAGCATTATCAGCCTTGCGCTTGTCCTTCAGATGGTTACGCTGCTTGATTTTCGCAGCCGCCTTTCGTCGTTCGAGGACATCCTTCAGATGCCTCTTCTCAAACTTCTTGGTGGATTTCTTTTGACTTCCGGCCATTGTGTCGCAAAGCCCCAATCTGACCGTGCAGATGGGAACAAATGTACAAAATGGGGAAATTCAATGGAGGTGAAAGTCTTTCACCAAATTAGAAGAGACTCAAGTTTTTTTTTCTTGGGTAAAAAATTTAGAAGATTATGCGGCAGAAAATGGCGGCGCCGATCGCCCAAATTGGGCCACCGCCTTTTGTTCCCCCTCCGAGTGTTTCTGATTATCTGCCGTCGCAAACTGACGTATAGAAGGAACTGTAAATCGCAATGTATGCCCAGCGCCCTTTGGCGTATGCGCCGACTCCTTATAGCTATACCCCCAATCCGGCCTTATCTGCGTCCATCAATCTCGATGAGGTATGCTGGGGTGCCTGGCTTGCTTGCGGGGCAGCTGGCTAACGCCCATGCCAGGAAGTTAAACTAGCCTCCAGCTCGGCCGAGCGCGATTTATATGAGTCGCTGGCTGAAATTTACAGCATCATAGTCACCCTTGATGGCCTCGAGAAGGCTTACATTAAGGATGTGGTTACGGAAGCGGAGTACACAGAAACGTGTACTCGGTTACTGAAGCAGTACAAGTCTAGTTTGGGTGACGACACCGTCGCCCATGAGTTTGTCGATCTGGAGACCTTCAAGCGAACCTGGGGGGTGTGTTCCTTCTAATCAACCTTACTCTTTGAAAACTGGTTCTAATCGTTTTACTTTCGCTAGTTGGAATGTCCCCGTGCTACCGAACGTCTTCGTATCGGACTTCCTGCGACTGTCGAGCAGGCCAGTCACAACGCGCCAGCAGCTAATATGGGCTCGACAGCAGGCCCTAATGGAGGTGCTTCAGGCAGCCTGATCCTAACGGCCACGGAGAACTTTATCACTTTCCTCGATGCGTTAAAGCTGAATATGGTGTCGAAGGATGCGCTCCACCCACTACTCTCCGAGGTGATCCAGTCCGTCAACAAGGTGACGGACGGGGACTTCGACAACCGGGGCAAAATCATTCAGTGGCTAATCACATTGAACCAGATGCGTGCGACAGAAGAACTGAGTGAGGACCAGGCGCGAGAGCTGTCCTTTGACATTGAACAAGCCTACCAAGGGTTCAAGTCGACGTTAGGTTGAATTAGACATGTCATACCGTTTTAAACGGTGGCTAGGGTGGGCTTCGGCGAAAGGCGTCTGGGATCGATCTTGAATAATTGTAGCTATATTGGTTCAGGTTCAAAATTTTGTATTCTGAAATTAAAACAACCTTCTGTCGTGTTGTAATTGATCTACTGCAGAATCAGGCACTGCTCTGGGCCTTATCTTTGGGTCCAGAGCGGATCCGACCCGCGGAACGTCGTGATCCGCCCTTTCCTTTTCGGGCAATCACGACTTTTTTTTTGTGCATCGAGAACCGCCCACCTGTTTTGCCACAGGCCAGGCAAATATAAGAGGAGAAAGGCTCTCATCCCCCTTTGTGTTGGTCTAGACCCGCTATAGTCAAACTCCATTGTTCATCAGACCGCTACAATGATCAGCGCGGACCTCGACGAGCCTCTCCACGGTATGTGTCCCCAGTTTCCCCGAACTGATAGGAGCGATGGTGGGCTGATAAGCGTTTCAGTGTTCGACCTGCCTCAAATCCATACTAAACCGTCTGGAACCGAACTTCTACGAGCTCTTGATATCTTAGCGATCAAACCAAAAAGTTTCGCTTCAAGTAGCCATGAAGCGGTGAAGGCTCCAACTGTTCATCCGACCGGAGTACCGCGCTATTTGACGTCTATCATCTCGAGCCCCCTTTCATGGCTAGATACCGATGAGCTTCGGGAAGCTGTTTGGGATGCTGCTGCTGCTCGACTCAGCGAGCGCTCTGGGCGAGCCGGTATGAGCAATATAATTGTAGTTGACTGTTTCCAGGAGTTTAGTGTTGTCTAACTTGGGGGGTCTTCCAATAGCGATGCCTGCCATGTCCCGTGTCTTCACAATTCCCAGTCCGTCGGGTGAAGAGCTGACTCTGACCCTGCACGAACCATCCTTGACTGCCGACAACCTAGGGATGAAAACCTGGGTATCCTCGTACCTTCTCTCCCAACGACTCCACTCTCTCCTCGAATCAACCCCGCAACTCGTCCCATCTGAGACGACGATCCCCACCCCAAAGACAGATCGCACACTTCGGGCCCTAGAGCTAGGCGCTGGAACGGGACTTGTGGGCCTTTCCTTTGCGGCCATCCGCGGACAGTCGGCTTCGATTCATCTCACAGACCTCCCCGATATTGTTCCTAACCTCGCCCACAATACCGCTCTGAATGTGGAGCTACTTACCAACACGGCTGCGACTGTCACGACTGGCGTGCTGGACTGGTCCGTTGCGCCCAAGCCTCTCCCTACTCAAGAGAAACAATACGACTTGATCCTGGCGGCCGACCCCCTGTATTCCCCCAAGCATCCCAAATGGCTCGTGGAGACCATCGGACACTGGTTGAGCCGCGGACTTGATGCACGCGTGGTGACCGAAATGCCTCTGCGAGATGCATACTTGCCGCAGGTCCAAGAGTTCCGTGAGCGCATGGGGCAGCTTGGTCTAGAGGCGGTTCATGAGGGAGAGGAGATAGGGTACGATGACTGGGAGTCGGCAGATGGAGGAGCGCTGGCAGTTCGATGCTGGTGGTCCGTTTGGGGGTGGAGCGAGAAGCTCTAGCCCGCCATGGCTCATAATTCCATTGGTCTGGTTTGCCAGATCATATCAACTGGACTAGAACGATGTCACGAAAATCCACGATCAACGAGCGACGATAGAGAATAGATAGACTACATAGATGTCCCTGCGCAGCGATCGGTCGGCCCATCGTTAGTATAGAACATTACATGAGAGCTTTGCATGCACTGTCTATATTGTTATCAAGTTAGCATGAGAAATTGACAATAGAACAATGACAGCGATAGGATACCATCTGATCGTAACTTTTGTCTTTCATTGTTGAGTTCCACGGATGTAACTAAGAGTCCCTCTGTATCAGGCACGATACGACCAAATGCCCGCTCACGTGCCTAGACCTATGACGGCATTGTGTTCCTGAGCATTATCACAATAAATCAACTAGTATTCATATCGCCACAGAACTATATTGCCATTCTTTTTCTTTCTGTCTGTACATATAATATTATTGCAAATTCAAATATTGATTCCCTATATATAACCACCACAACTTCCAACTTGAAACAAAACCCCAAAACACTCATATCCTAGATCAACATCTATCTCACTCTAGTCAACAACCCACCAAAATGGTCATCGGCCTATTGACAATAGCCGCAATTCCCACCGTAACAGGTGTTGCGCTAGGCGTAAGCGAACAGCGCAAAGCAAACGAGCGCAAAAACGACGAGAGGCGCATGGCCAAATTCCTCATCGACGTGGAAACCAACGGCGAAACCCAAGAAGACAGCGAAGTATGCGGGAAACGGTTCGTATTAAAGAATAACAAGGTATGTGGCGCTCCCCATCACTGTATTTGTTTCTCGCGCGCGCGCGCGCATGCATATGGCTGATCTGGAAATCACGTTTTCGTGCAGGTTTATCTCGATGACCCGAATCCTTCGAAGCGGAAGCTTCCGTCGCATACGGTGACTTCGTTTTACATTGAATATCCGGAGCTGGAGGAGACGAAACATTTGAAGCGGGGGTTGGGGCTTGTTACTACGATTTCGGATAATCCGCCTATGCTGGGGTGGATTTATGTGGATAAGGATACGCATGAGTTGAAGTATGGGAACCGCACGGCGAGTGTTGAGCATGTTGTTGGGCCGTGGGATTGGACGGAAGATGAGACGACGATAACGCTGGAGGAGAGTCCGGATTTTTATGCAGTGCAGGAGGAGGATGGGGACTGGGCGGTTTATTTTGATCGCGATGGGGATGAGTTGGAGTATGTCCTGGAGGAACAGGACAAATTGGATAATGCGTTTGCGCCTATTGCTCTGAAGCGGAAGTTGATTGAACAGCTTTTACAGCAAGCCCAAGCCCAGCAAGCTAAGAAAAATGATAACTCGTGATTGGTATCCATTGTTCGGAAGGGGAATCGTAATTTCATTTGTGTACAGAGTATTATGCATGAGATTTTTGGCACCTTTTTGTTTTTTTTTTACTCTTGAATGCCGCCCCAGCCGTCGTCGCCGCTATCAGACTCCGCGCCCGATTTAGATGGTCCCTGGAGCTTCCTGTTACGGCTCGCTGCGATGGCGCCCTTCTTCTTGTTTTCCATGCGTCGCTCGAAACCGCTCTTCGTGCTGATTCTTGTCTTCCGCTGCTGCTTGTCATCTGCCACGCCCTTGAGATTCGTTTGTCTGGCTTTGACGCCGTGTTTCTTCAGCTCTTTCTTGTCCTTCTTGCTGAGGTCGGGGAGAGAGTCTAGAAGCCATTTCTGGACTGACTTTTCGCCCTCCGTTCCCCGTAACTTCTCACTGACGTCGATAATGTTGGCAATGCTCTTCACGTAAGGAATATCTTCCTTCGTGTAGTATGTCACTGCGATACCACCTTCACGACCGGCCCGGCCCGTACGTCCAACTCTGTGAACATAGACAGCCGCTGAGTTCGGAATGTCGTAGTTGACAACACCGTTGATACCGCGGAAGTCGATACCACGAGCCAGAAGATCAGTTGTAACGAGGATCCAGATCTCGCCCTTGCGGAAGTTCTTCATAATCTCCGAGCGCTGGCCGTCCGAAAGATCGGAGTGGAGGACAGCGATACGCGATGAGCCACCGGCTTCTGGAGGGATATCGTAGCGCAATTCTGAATGGAGTGCCACGGCCCTAGGAATAGTTTGGGTAAAGATCAGGAACGGCGGACGAAGGCGGATATCTGATGCTGCCGCCGCTGCAGGATGGAGGAGTTGTCTTAGACCGAGTAGCTTTCCTTGTTCTGTTGCAGCGTAGACCAACTTATGCTGGATATTTGGAATGGCAGAGTCCTTCAATCCAACGACGAGGCGATACAATGGGTAAGACTTTGTGAGACTTGAAGCATCTTTGCGCTCCTTGATTGTGGACTTGGCGAGGTCTTCAATGCTCGAACCCATGGTAGCTGACCATAGACTTGCTCGAAGCTCAGGGTGTGTGCAGGCGCGCCAGATATCAAGAGTTTGCTCGCGGAACAAGGGATCCAAGAGAACATCTGCCTCATCAAGGACAATATTCCTCACCAAGGGCAATGTAGACATAGGCTTTGTTTTGTTTGCAGAGAGTGCATTGACCAGTTGCAAAGGAGTCGTTACGAGAATGTCGCTCTTAGTGACAGGGGCCTTGGCCTTGCTCTTCTTCTCGGTAGTCTTTTCGTCGTCCTCTGACTCGGAAGATTCGGAGCTGCCCTCGTCCAAAATGTCCTCGTCACCGTCCACATGCTCCACCACCTGCATGCCCTTCTTCATTAACGTGATCTTAACACCAGTTCCCGAGACCAACTTTCTCCCCTCGTTAACAATCTGACTAGCTAGCTCCTTAGTCGGCGCAACAATGACCGCAAAAATGCCTCGCTCCTCTTGCTGCTCATGATGGTGGCGCACAATCTTATTGATAACCGGAATCAAGAACGAAAGGGTCTTTCCACTTCCCGTAGGCGCAACGACCAAAAGATCTGGCTCAACCGGCTCATCTGTCTTGGACTGGACAATAGTCCGATCACCCAACAACAAAGGCAGAGTCCCCAACTGCACTTCCGTAGGCACCGTAAAGCCCTGTTCGGCGATATTCTCCGCCAGGCGGCGCGAGATCTTGTGCTGTGTGCGCAACTCCTTGAAAGAAACAAGAGGCCGCGGGAATAACCGCCGAGCCTTCTTCTGCTCCTTTTTAGTGAGAGTCTGAGCAGCCTCTTCTTTCTGCTTTCTCTTCTTCTTTTTCTTCTTCGGTTCCTCTTCGCCCTGCGCCTGCACAGGTTGGATTTCCTCAAGCTCGCGCATGTCCGTCACTTTGATCTTGTGAGAATTCAAGATCGTCCGGCGTTGCACTTCATCCATTTCGTCTTCGTCTTCCGAGCCAGAGCCGTGTTCTTCATCCGAAGGCGACTCTTCGGTCTTCACAATCTTCTTTGAAGATCCCTTATTAGAGCTGAAGAAGTCCAGATCGGGCTCACGTTCCTCTGGCTCATCCGCCGCAGAACCCCTCTTTCTCTTCTTGCCATTTTTTTGTTCTTCCAGTAGCTTCTCAGCTTCGGAATTACGAAACAGCTGCGGGTTCTCCGCCTTGCCCGTCGAAGGAAGTGATGCTGAAGACGGGCTGGGACCGGCCTTGAATTTGGTCGACCGGGTCAACAGCTTGAAAGCATCCATCGCTGTAACTGGCAGCTATGTTGCCCCGTGCCGAAAAATAGATGCTATGTGAATAGCTGCGACGGGTTTACAAGCTATGAAGGTGTGGTGGTGGTTGGATACGCGGTATAAAAAAAAGTTGGAAAGCAGAAATTCTTTCCCGCACGGGCCAATCAGCGTTGTGTTTCTCCATCTGTTACGGTACCGTACCTTAAACCGGACTCCACAAAAAAGCTGCTAGCATTAAATTGATTTGATTCCAGGGCCCGTTCTAGAAATTTCACTATGGTGGAGGTACCCTTGCTTCGGAGCGGTATTTTTATTCTGTATTGCATTCTAGAGGTTTGCAATTGTTACACCCTTGTCATTGATGCTGGCTACGTAGATATCAGTAGGAATAGGAGATACTAGGTAGAAACGAATGATCAATTCAAACGCACGTCTAACACATAATTGACGGACATCTCTATACGACTTCCACTTTTGACACAGGTAGAATAGGAAAAGAACAAGAAGAGCAACAGTTGACATGTATATCGCCCTTAGAGTGAAGCATCCAAGGGAGAAGAGGGGATCCTCCAAAAGTGCGTGATTTACCTCAGACAACAGTTAAATTCCATCGTCTATCATACAATAGTACAGAACGCAGTGATAAAAGGAAATATAAAAAAGACAGGCCATGCATTAGTGCTTGCGGGTGATCTAGTGGTCTCCGTGGTGCTCAGGGTGGCCCCTGTAGCCGACAATGTTCATTCTACCGATCATCTCACCGACGGTGAAGAATCCGATAACCTCCGCGAGAGTAACACCGGCCAGGGCGATTTCCTTCTTGTTGGCATTGCGGACACGGGCGGCGATGTCTCCCGGCGACACGAAGTTGGCGTTCTTAAGGGCGGCAGGGCTGCGGAAAGCGTTGAGCAGAGGCTGGTAGAAGGACTGGAAGGTAGCCAGGTTGCTGCGGGATGTTAGTCAATGCCGGGTACTCTGTCGGTCATATGGAAGCGCTTACGGAGGAGTCATGTTCTGTCCACGGAAAACGAGCTTGGCGAGTTCAAGGCCGACCTTGCCGTAGTAGAGGGTGGGGGGTATCATAGCTGTTTCATCCCAGTATAGTTAGCGATGCTGATACACATATCGGCGGAGGTTGAAGTGGCTGGCGCGCGCCCCAACGCAGGAGTCGTGGTAGCAATGGCAGTGATGACCACGGCTCCCACAGCTGGCAGGGAGGAGCGAGTCTTTAAAAGACGGAGACATTGGAGATCTTCTTACAATCGACGAAAGCGATGACTTTTCCGGTCCTTCCACCAACCTTCCTCAGAGCACTGCCGACGCCTTGGGCGGCATTCGAAAGAGCGGGGCCAGCGGTCGATGTGACACGAGAGAGACCCTCAGACGCCTTGGAGGCAGCAGAGGATGCAGCCTCACCAGCCTTCTGAGCAGTCTCCGAGGTGGAAGAGGCGTATCTGACAGCGGTCCTCCGGGTCAGGAACTGCGATTGCCGAAGAACGGCACGGGACGCCGTAGCGGGCATCTTGGAGACCACAAAAAAGAAAAAGACTGTAAAAGGAGAGAAAGACTTTTAAAAGTGGCAGAGGGGGGACAAAGGAGTCCAATGGCGGTGGGGTCAAGAGCCGGAGATACTGGATCGTCGCGCAATTGCAGGACCAGAATCTGAGATTTGAGGCTCGGGAAGTTCAGGGAAAACGCTCTCCCCATTGGGTCACGTGCACAACGGCACTGTTGACATGCCATCCAACGGGCCGACCATGAGCAATAGCGCATACTCCCAAAGTCAACAGTCCATGAACTACTACTAGGCGACCAACAGCAGCATTCGGCATTATTTTTCAATGACTACTAGGCACGAATCTTCTGTCATCCCATCACACATTTTTCAAGAGAACTCAATTGAGTATTTCATCAATTGTTAGCTACTTGCTTAATTACTCTGATCCTAAGCAAGCCATTATGAAGATACGGCTAATGTCTAATTCGGCATTGATCTACGCAAAGTTTTTCTTATGACAATGAAATGCGCCTATTTGATATCTCCTCAGATGACGAAAAACTGCATCACTTCCTGGAAGGTTAGGGAGTCCTCAGAAATTCACGGTCAGAGAGCCAAGCGCAGCCTGATGGGGACGAACTTGCTCAGGCAGTAACTCTATGGAAGCAGGCAAGCATCACACAAACTGCGCGCAATATTTATATTTCCCTCGCGCCTACGATCCACGAGTGCAGGCTTTTGCTGAGATCTAATATCAACCGGTAATGAACCAGCGCATTGGGTCTCCAAATACTGAAAAGTATGTTGTTTAGAGCTCTTGGAAGTTTAAAAATTCTGGAGAGTTCATCAAAGCCATAATTAAGATAGTATGGCTACACCAAAATCTCCGAGGGCATACGAAATACTGGGCCGGGCCCGCGATAGAGCGGACTAGTTGTTTAAGAGATCGGCGAGCCTTATGTATGTGTATATATAAGACTTGATTAACCTCGTGGGCTCTCCCTGAATGGCCTTGGGCCATTGGACGAACAATGCTCAAACTCTAGTATACGAAGTTTTGAGACCAAAACGAAAGAGCGCAGGATATGAAACACTTTATACGCTCATGATATCGGCAAAACTCTGATCAGGTGCTTAGCGTGAGTGACATTGCTGACATGCTATCTACAGGACTCTATAGTGAGGTCTTAAGGGGTTTCTCGCGCGAGGTTGGTCCCATACTTGAGTTAGCTTCATTTGTGGTACGAGGATGCATTAAGCTTTTCTGCTAGAACTTCTCTAGAAGTTCTTAGAGTAAGAGAGGCTTCTGGCGAGTGGACTGACAAAACTTCTGGCCAATCGCAGCGGGTCGGCATCATATATGACATCTTTAGAATGCCTTAGGTAACACTATTGGCGATGTCAAATCGCAATGCGTTTGTTCAATTATCATTTGTGACGCAGGAGAGTCATAGAAGAATAGCATGTTAATTAAAGCCGACTTAGAGAAGCCATGTGCCCAATCAACTGCGAGGATACCCTACAAACCAATATAATTCAGAGAGCCAATTCGATGCGTGGCCCTTGAGACGCGATTCCCAACTATGGCGCTTTTCGGAAATTCAGTGTTATTGAATTTTACAAGCCCTCCTTGTGATCTGCTGCCCTCAAATAGTTATATTGTTGTAGAACACTATGCTATATATAAATAGCTGTCGGACGGAGAAGATGTTCGATATGTAGCAGCTCCAAATCAATCCGAGACAGGTCGAATCAGATGACATTTCGGAAGACCGAGTAACGGCTCACAGTGAAACCGATAGGAAGAATTAATCCGTCCTATGGCTGTCCAAAACTTCAGGATCGAAGAGGGATTGAGAGTTGCCGAGTGAATCCGTGAGCATGTCGGGATGGATACAAGAGCATCGAACGGCCGTCTGGATTCTCCACCAAAGAAGGCGACTTTTCCACCGGAGAATTTCCACTCTGGGAAAATCCCACTGAACTATGGTTCTGGCCCAGGCACCAAAACCAATGAATGCTACATGATTTGTTAGACAAAAAATTTGATAATGCTTGTGGATTCAGGTTCTCTTATTCATTTTTCTTGTGGAGGCGCAAGATGTATCGAAAATGCGCGTTTAGTGGTCGTTCAATGATCAAAAATTGGCTAAAATCCCTATTTAACCGAGAGAACCCTATGTTATTCTGCAGCAGATCAGTTTCATATAGAGCTAGATAACCTGGTTATCAGTTTTGAAATAGCATCTTCCATTGTCTGACGGGCTTTCCATTTTGTGGATATACTATTAACTCATTGAAGCCAAATGGGACTCATTCTAGAAGCATTTCGATCAACCATCATGATCGGACATTTAGTTAACAACAAATAGAAGCATTCATAGACTATTCGCCATCATGCTTACTGGTAGAGTTTCTCTCCAAGAGATACTTTGTATGCGCAACCATTTCCTATTTTATCAATGGCCGGGGTTCGCGAAGCCGCTCCTGGTTCCTATAGTTTCCTAAAACATCAGTAGGTGTCTGCGATAGAAAGGCGGCCAAAGATATTCCGCTCAAAGCGCCGGTCATACTGAGGCTATACTCTCCAGATACGGTAATGGGTCAATTCTCCGGAGACTCAGCGAGCACCATGACTTCAAATTGCGACCAATGGTGATGCCCCAGAAGTGACCCCGCGGGCGCGGGGCACCGGCTAAATAAAATCTGGGCCAGTGATGGGTGCCACGATGCCTCCACTCCGTCCCGCAGGAAGATGGAGCAGTAGTATCGGCTTGATGGTTGACCGTCTTTCATGCTCAATCAGGAGCCTCAGTGACTTTGCGAGCTGGGTCTGATTGAAAATATTTTCAATGCTCCTTTTCACTTTCCCCATCTTGGAGGGGTAGCTCCGTCGGGCAGCTATTAAAGCTTTGGCTCCCCTAAGCCTCTTCCCTGTCTTTCTTGCTGCATTCCCTCACTCCTCTCGATCCTCCTACCGTCAGTACCCAGACCTCCTTCCTTGCACATCATGGCTACCGCAACTGTCCTCGAGAAGGCCAACATTGGTGTTTACACCAACACCAACCACGACTTGTGGGTCGCCGAATCGAAACCGACGCTCGAGGAGGTGAAGAGTGGCGAGAGCTTGAAGCCCGGTGAGGTCACAGTTCAGATTCGCAGTACCGGAATTTGCGGGTATGCGCTTTTGTTCCCTAGCGGCATGTTCTCAAACTGACAATTGGTGTTCACAATAGATCTGACGTGCATTTCTGGCATGCCGGCTGCATTGGCCCCATGATTGTCACGGGAGACCACATCCTGGGTCACGAGTCGGCCGGTGAAGTGATCGCAGTTGCCCCCGATGTCACCCATCTGAAGCCAGGCGATCGTGTCGCCGTCGAGCCCAACATTCCCTGCCACGCTTGCGAGCCTTGCCTGACTGGACGTTACAACGGTTGTGACAAGGTGCTTTTCCTGTCCACTCCTCCCGTAGACGGTTTGCTGCGGCGCTATGTCAACCACCCAGCTGTCTGGTGCCATAAGATCGGCGATATGAGCTATGAGGATGGCGCTCTGTTGGAACCCCTCAGCGTGTCTCTGGCTGCAATTGAGCGAAGCGGGCTTCGCTTGGGCGACCCTGTTCTTGTCACCGGTGCTGGTCCCATCGGTTTGATCACTCTCCTCAGTGCCCGCGCCGCGGCGCGACACCCATTGTCATCACCGATATCGACGAGGGAAGACTAGCATTCGCCAAGTCGTTGGTTCCCGACGTTATCACCTACAAGGTGCAGACCAACCTGTCCGCCGAGGATAACGCTCAGGGCATTATCGATGCTTTCAACGATGGCCAGGGCTCCGCCCCTGATGCTCTGAAGCCTAAGCTGGCACTGGAGTGCACCGGTGTCGAGAGCAGTGTCGCATCCGCCATTTGGAGCGTCAAGTTCGGCGGCAAGGTCTTCGTGATCGGCGTGGGCAAGAACGAGATGAAGATTCCGTTCATGCGCCTGAGTACCCAAGAGATCGACCTTCAGTACCAGTACCGCTACTGCAACACCTGGCCCCGCGCCATTCGCCTCGTGAGGAACGGTGTCATCAGCTTGAAGAAGCTTGTTACACATCGCTTCCTCTTGGAGGACGCTCTCAAGGCCTTCGAAACTGCTGCAGACCCCAAGACGGGAGCCATCAAGGTCCAGATCATGAGCAACGAGGAGGATGTGAAGGCCGCTTCAGCTTGAATCAATCACTGCTGAGATGAACTTCCCTGGTGTTAAAGGTAATCAGTCACGTTTTATACCTTTTGTGTTTTTTTTCTGGTATCATTTTCTGCAATGATGAGTCATGTAATGTTATGATGATCGGTTTAGATATATTGCTTTGAACTATAGACATTCTAGAAGAATTCTATTTCTTAAACTTCTCAATATTGGCTTGTGTCTTTTCTAGGCTTGAATTGAGATAATGTTGATGCGTTGATGGTATCTCAATTTTCTGTAGCATATCTGAATATGGGGATGTAAAGGCTGCTTTTATATGCTTGCCAATTAAGGACCTTGGTGGAGACTCGGGCCTCAAATGGCAGTACATGATTGAATGTAAAACATAGCATTTCGATCTTGGTTCAGTTATGGTTCCAATAACCCATCGACCTTCACCACCAAAGTACCACGATTCGCCGAAGACAGGATATACTCTTACTGCTAAGCATTTCATCCATGATCTCCACAAGGGTGTCACGGGAGAAGCCATACTGGAACAACTCCGTGTCCTCCCTAGGGCAACGGGTAAAAGACTCCCCAAAGCAACAAGCCCTCGCCGATGAAGGCTAGTGAAACCTGACTACCTATTTACCTTAGATACACGAAAGGAAAGCAAAGAATCAGATGCCGAAATCACTCAACATCCTTCCCAGATATGGTATTTACCCCAACCCGTCCCAGTCTCGCCCCATGCATGTTCGGATATGCAAGCCATTGCATATAGTCGTTGACTTGCAAGAGCTTGAACACACACACACCATGTGGGCCCTTCACAGGGGGCACCCTACTCCACCTGGACATGCATTGGTGTCCCTTAAAAGGCTCAGACTACCTGAGAAACCATAGAAAACCATGGAAACATGGACCATTGGAGGTCCATCTTTCTGATTAAACACTAACTCTGATATCCACATAGTACACATGAACTAACCGAGCCACTCGGCCCGACCCCATAGTTCCCGGAGTAATCGTAAACCACTGATAGTGATGGAGGCTTCATGTCGATAGCCGAGTGTCCAGAGGTGCGGCCAATTCACTCACTGTCTGCTCGGCCACGTAGATTTTGATCCCTGGTCAATCATGTCACCGGATTAGGAGCTTGCTACCTAAAGTATGCCAACCGGCAAGGCATCTGCATTGCACCCGTAGCAGTATTCAGACGACTTAAAAAGAAATGGCAGTTAATCTAGGCTCCTCCTCTCCAGTGTACTAACAAACACGTTAATAATAGAGAATAGATCATGATGTATATATATCAGAATATAGGACACCACCTCCAAAATTAAGTCCCAAAAGTAAAAGTACTAGACACACTAATGGATCTACCACCATCCAACCACCGATATATCGGATAGTATAGTATAAACACATTAACAAAAATCAAAGATGCATCTCAACAATAGGCCCCTCATATACATTCCTCGCCCTTAGGACATAATACACAAGACTCAAAATAATAACCCCCACCGTGCCAACCACACTAAAGTTCATCGTATCCACCGTGACCGTATGCTGCGGCGGCCAGAAACTAAAGAAGACTGCGATCGTCATATATATAAGCGCGAAGGTATTGACCAGGATACCCCAAATACCGGGTAGATGGAAGGGCCCCCAGACGAGCTTTGCGCCGGCTGTGTTGACGATGGCGTCCTCGCTGCTCTTGGAGCTGCTGATGCCGCCTGTGCAGCGTCTGTAGAGGAGGAGGCTGGCGACGACCATGTAGGAGAGGTAGAGGCCGGAGATGGACATGGAGACGAGGTCGTTGAAGGCGACCGAGGAGCCGATGTTGATTAGGGCTAGTAGGCAGGCGACTATCGTTGTGAGGCCGACGGAGTAAATCGGGATGGCGGACTCGGGTGTCACCTAGATGTATGTTAGTGATCGACTATTTGTATAGTAGGAGGGGGATTGAAGGTGGAGTAAGTAGGGGAGGATAGATGTACATACCTTGCTCCATAAGCGCCAGCCGGGGATTCCGCGATCTCTCGCAAAAGACCAAAATTGCCGTGATGTTGAGGCCAACATGCCGACCGATGTGCAAATTCCCATGGTCGTGATGATGGAGCCCATGGTTGCTGTGCCGGCCACAGACTGCGTCGCTTGGAGGAAAATTGCCATGAATGGGTAACCAGTTGGAGACTCGAGGGCTGCCTCGATATCTCCCAGGCAGAACAACATGGCGATTAGCATGCTGAAACCCAACGTTCCGTTGATGAGAACACTAAGCATGATAGACCGTGGGACAGCAACTGGCGCGTTTGTGATTTCTTCGGACATCTGCAGATAGGAGTCAGCATCTGTTCTCATCTGCAGCTGAAACTAAGAATCGTACATGAACAGCAGCGTCACCCCCCGCAAATGCAAACACGCAACCGACGAGACCGATAAAGAATGACAAGCCCTGCGTGGGCCATTCGCCCAGGTTCAGGAAGTGGGTGAACACCTCCTGCGCACTCGAGTGATCCGCCATATAGGTTAGCGGGATAAGAATGGCGAAGAAACCGAGAATGTGGAGGATGAGGATCAGGCCCTCAAAACGGGGCAGCAGGTTTCCTCCTACACTATTGATCCCCACGGAGAAAACAGCGACGGCCCAAAAAAGGAGAGTCCCATGCCAGTTCTTGGGCTCATAACTGGAGTTTGTGAGGACGATAAGGCCTTGTATGAGCGTCCCAGAAAGAAAGCACGAAGTTGCGAAGGTTGCTTGCCATCCGATGACAGTGAGCCAGCCTGAGTCGCAGGGTAAGAGTGGGAACGAATGGTTCTTGTCGCAGGTCTGATGAAGTGCTCACCTGTCAGATAGCTGAAGAGCTTCATCGCAGACGGAGGCGCCAGCATAGAGCACCAATGATACTGGCCGCCGGATGTTGGAGCCCTAGAAAAATGTCATTATGGAATCCAGTATACCACGATAGGGTGTTTCATACATTGATGCCAGCTCTGATAAAACCACAAAGGTCGCTGCAACGCCGGCCCAAACGAAGATAAAACCATACACGGCTCCTGCTGGGCCTCCACTAGAAGCGCTTCTATTAACATTTCACGGAACAAATGAATCGCAGGCCGACTCCATACTTTTGAAACGCTTGCAAGAATAATCTGCTCATATATCAGTAAGATTGAACATGCTAAATATCCCAATCCATCGATGTAAAGTACGTACACGACAATGCCTTCCCACGTGATGAGGATCGTGCAGCTAAATCCCAGCATTGACATCAAGCCGAAATTCCGCTAATGACGATAAGCAAGGGACAGAGAGCATAGTTGTATAGCAGAGGTAGTACCTTTAAGACAGGGCGCTTGCCCAAGCGTATCAAATTAACATCATCTGTCTCTTTACTCAAAGGGCGGCCCTCTAACTCGTGTGGAGCGGCAGGCGCATTTGCTTGAGCTCATGGGAGGCCATGGTGAAGCAAATGGCTCTGGAAAGAATGTACCGGAAGAGCCTGAGGGGCAAATCTGCCAAAGCAGTTGTTGTAGATATCAAGAACCCCGACTCCCAACCTTTAAGAAAAAGAAAAGAAAGTGCGGGTATCTGGCCATGTTTCGGACGGAGTGTGGAATGTTTAATCGCAATCCCTGTATATGCAAGCCACTCGGTAATCACTTGGCCGTGAGCTGCAAGACAAATGAAAATACTTAGTCCAGGGACTAGCCCGACAATTCTCGTATAACAATCCCTGTTGCATAGGGGGCCAATTAATTCCAGACCTCTTTAGATTCCCTGACTGCCCGTGGCCATAACCGGTTCTATTAATTTGTCAACGAATCGACCCTTGTAGAGGCTAGCCCTAAGATGCCCGGCGATGTCTCTGCGTCGTAACATCCTCGGAGGGTTGCCTCCCCGAACACTACCTCGGACGGACCCAGGTCTGTATTGAACACGTACTAATATCTAATAGGACTAAACTGATGCTCTGGCACATGAGGCTGTATATCACTCGTGGTTGTACCCCTGCGGCCCCACAACGAACAATTCGCGATCAACCCAAACGGCACGTCCGTTGTACCGCTAAAATCCTGAACACGCCCCTAAGATATTTAGTTAGTTGAGCTAGATTCGAGAATGCCAAGGACTCCCGCCCGGCTCCCATCGGTGGAATTAGTATGCATCCCAATATAAGTGGAAAACCTTGTGGGACTGAACCTGGATCTTGTATCCTACGACTCATGTCATTGGGCAAAACCCACGTCCACGAAGAGAAATAGTGTATGGAGTGGAAAGACATTAATATACTCCGGAGTAGTATTCATATCATCCAATAGTTACCGTGACATTAAAAGAAAACTAAAATGCGACCGCATCACTTGGCATTCTCGGCGAAACTACGCCGTACTTCGGTCACAGTCCAAGTCCTAGTCTCATGGATAATATGCGTCTGGCTCGACTGACTTTCTCCATCCCAGCCCAGCGATGGCGTCGAGCTAGTTATAGTAGCCTGGTGGGTGTCCTGTATCGGTAGGGGGACAAGCTCATGCACATCGCTGCGAACCGTGCCTCGTCGATGTGAAGCAGAGTATGAGCCGTATCCCTTTTGCGAGTGACCGTAACTTGTCAGTCCACCAAGGCGCATCCCCGTTGAGCGCAGACTGTCGAGAAATGGTTTGAATTGGGGCGAGCAGGCCGTGACAATGCTTAAAGACTGAACTAGCTGCGTGGATATCGCCACGGGCCAAGTCTCATGGGATGGGTCGCGCGAATCGACGGTTTTACTAGCATAGACCAGCTGACAGATAATCATAATCATGACTCTGCGCATGAAGTTAGCAGAGGCTAAAGCGACGGAAGATGCCGGGACACGAACGCGACCCGAAGCATGAACACTCCGGCCAAGACGGCCTTTTTCTTAAGATGCGTCTGAATGCGTACAATCACTAGCATTGCCTGTATCATCATACCACATTCTGACAAGATATTCGTGGTGCCAAGATAATTCCACCAGGCATTCTGTTGACCCGTCAGTCATTTCTCCGTATTCAGAAATGGACATCACCCACAATGTTAAAGCATTTCCCATGCAGATAATCCCAAGTTCGAGGTGGTTTGCACTGGAAAGCTGAGGTTATGAGGCCAATCACCCCCCATACAAGAGTAGACATTTTCAGGCCAACTGCGATGCGGTGGTCTGTAGAAGCAGGCGTCAAGTTATCGATAAAGCTGATCAGAGCGAGTTTAGAGAAACACATGCTGAGGATGAAGAGGATATTTGCTGAGTATTGCGACTAGTCGTCGTGAGTACAGTATCCGAGGGAGATGCGTGTCTTGCTCACCTTCATCATTGCTTCAATGCTAGAACTACTCAAACTCTCATAATGCTCCCCGTACCCGTTGGCAGTCGCCATCGACACGGCGATGGACTGCGCAGCGCAGAGTACCTGGTGTGAATCAGTACCCATGTCCCCATAACATTCTCCACCACGTTTCCATGTCAAACTATACCAATGAAGCGATACTGAAGTAATCATCTTCAGTGAACTTGCGAAAGATCCAGTATTTGGTCCCCAGTCGAGTGATTACGCTCAAAGTTGCCGTCACTAGTAGAAACCAGGTCAAGACATTGACCGCTGGCGTCCAGCTGTCCGGCGAAAACTGGGCCATTGCATGCAGAGTGATAGGGGCGATACTGGAGTCCCCATGTGGAATGCGGATGTAGGCTTATTTGGACTATTCCTTGTGTTTCTGTACATGACAAGCAAACAACGAAGAAGGCAAAATCATTATCATTACGAAATAACTCGGTTTAGCCACAGTGTATGAAGTTTTCATTGGCAGTGGTTGGAAACGGAGATTATAAGCCCGCGTACTGGCCGCGATCTACTACTGTGGTGCCCCTAGGGCATACTAGCACCGTTCTTCGAGGGTGGGAAATTAAACGGCCGATTGAATATTAATATTAATATGAAAGTAATATAATTCGAAGGGGCCAAGAAGAGCAAAGAACACAGAAATATTCCGTACTCGCTCCAACCCCGGTCAACTATTGGACTACAGATTTCTCTCATTAGCACCTGACACGGTTTGAGGTAGTGAAACCCTAAATGGCCTGATGGGTCCAGGCTACACTAAGCCCCTAATGTAACCCTTGAACTTCTTGATCCAGTCGATTCACCTCGTGGCCGCTCATGTTAAGTGTTGGAAGGATCTTGTCTCGACTACTTCGTACTATATGATCGCTTGTAACCCAGACTTCTGAAACCAAGTCGAGTTTTTGGGACTACAGGAGCAACAGAATGCATCAACACCAACATCGACATATCTTACTACAAATCTATCAGTATCGGCATGAGGAACTTTCAGTCGACACGGGTTTGGAGCGTGGAGTTATTGGGAGTCTGACCCGGCTATAGTAGCACTGCTATATTTTCGGTGAAACTTCTCCGGTTATTAGATACTACTGTGTATTACGATCATCTTCGCAGATCTGAAATACGTTTTAACATTATCAATATGTATTCGCTAATATATATAAATTTATAAAATCATGTTCCCTTTCCCTCCAGTTTTACCTGGATTACAATATGCTTCTGGTGCTCAGGTTCACAAGTTATTATCAAAGTATCTCTCGCATTGCTCTTTGATCCACTGTGATCGGTTTCGAAAATCAGATGGGAGTTTGACACCATCTTCACAGATGTAGGCGTCTATCAATGTGGGAGGGACCCACTCGAAGTAAACATTCGGTACGTTGACTGTGACTTGTCGACCCTTCCTTTGAATTTTCTGTTCAATGACACCGAGTCCTTTTACGGTCTCACTCTGCTGCCAGGCGTCCACCACCTCCGAGGACTCATTGTTTTCCATGGTATGTGCTTCTGTATCACAGCTCTGCATCGCGACTTTATCGAGCTCACTCACAACGATAATGTCTGCCGAGGGCGAGACATGCCGCACGCTTAGAGCTGCCGGCAAAGATCCAGTTTTATTACTGACTGACCCATCAGCTGCAATGCGATCTGCTGCAAGCAGAAGAAAATCGGCATTTTGAGCTGCGAGAGCGACTGAAGCGTCCGTGAAAATAGATACATCGACCTTGGGGCTGTTCGGTTCCTTCTCAAGATGTTCTAGAATTGAAGATGCTAGCGAAACGCCTTCGAATAAAGGTCGAGATTCCAAAACGCGGATTTCGACAGACCGAACGCCGGAGATCCGTACTAACTGTGTAATGCATTCGCGGATGGTACAACTCGCAGATAGGGTTATAATTGTCAAGTGCTTAGGTATACAACCAGCCCGGCTAATCTTAGACATGGCGTATGATCCGAAGTTGTAGCTAAGGCGAAGCTTATATGAGCGTATCTTTTTCTGAATGCGGTCGAAGAGTTCAGAGACCTGCCGCTTGTCGCAGGGTTCCTCGGGACCCAGAGTCAATAAAAGCGTCTCGATCTCAGTCAGTGTCATCAACAGAAAGCTGAGAATGGCCGCGTCCATGCTCTGGCGTCCATTCTTCCAGAGATGCCAGGCCGTCATCCTGGCTTTCTGCCACCATGGGCCACTGAGAGTGATGGGGTCGTCTAGGTGGGCCACGACCGCCCGCAGGATGTTCACTGAAACAGCAGCTAATTTTCGTGCGCCGCTTTCATGATCGTGTTGAAGTTGTTTCAAACCACTCGCCAACACCTTCCCCGGTGTTGGGCCAAGGTCGATCTCGAACCAAACCTTTCGCAAGCCCTGTCCGAAGTAGTGACCGTCCATCGAGTCATACACATTCGGCTCGTGGTTATTCCATCCACAAATACTTCGATCAAGACGTGTGTTATCTACGTCGGTGCTGAGACCTGACAAGGTATTGAGATGGAATGCAAACGGGTAAAAGAGACATCTCTGGCCGATAGATGATGTCTCTGAAAGAAAGCTCTTCCCATATCGAAGGACTGACAGTGAGGAGGGTGGTATGGTTGTCTGTTTTTTGATCGTCTTCCAAGCGGTGTCCTCGGGGCTCGAATTATTATCTTCGATTACCCCCAGCAGGGGTTCTAGAGAGCCACTGTAGCAATCTAGTCAGCGAAATTAATAGTATTTAAGAATATAAAGGGTTGTGGGGCGAACCATGGCAGTGGAACCCTGTCACTTTTCCGAACCTGGGCACTGTTTGGCTTTGGATTCTTTGGCAATTCTGAGTCTATATTGGCGTCTCGAAAGATAAAACATAGAACTGCCCGATGATATGGTGGTGCTTGTCGCGGGTGTTCTTTGGTGTGTATGGCCTTCAACCGTGGAGGCTGTTGCGGAGCCACTTCGAGCTCAACTGATGGGAAGATCGCCATCGGGAAAGTCACAGTGACAAGAACATATCGTAGGGTCGAGACAGCGGCCCCTTTCGGCAATGTATAGGGAGAGTAAAAATGGCATTTTCACCGACAATTCATAAAACACGTCATGTCATTGGGCAGCAAACCTTGGTTGGCCCGCATACGATCGAATAGTACTCTTGATAGGTACTGTATCCTGATGCTGGCGGAAGCTGACTGGCTTGCCATGAGGAGGCGGTATCCACGCTTCAGCTCAAGCCGGATTAAATCTCGGTTCTTGCAGATCAAACTTAAAGGTGGAGTGACCTGTCTTCCCCGGCTGTTCTGAGGTTGTCAAAAATGCCATGGCAAGTGTTCCGAACTTTGTCGAGTCATGTGTCATGCTATTTGAGAACCCATGAACAATACCTGGAGGATGATAGAAATATGATTGAATCAGGAGGTTATAAATATACAGCAACGGCACTGGGTCGGGCTGACTCGAACACCAGTTCTTCCATGATGGGTCAGATCTCAGCGCTAAGCCCGAGATGGCTTAGCATGTTGTTGATCAGTTCTCTCTTGGAAAATGAATTCCTGGTGATATCAGCCTAGAAACTTCAAGTTATCTTGAGGGGCAAGTCCTGAGACTATTATTCTATAGTTTTGAGGATAGAAAGACTCGTACATAGTGATTCCCAAACCCTAACTACCAAGACACAACTAAACCATAACTCCGAACCGTCACTTGGTCGCACTTCACACAATAGTATTTTGTATTGGTGATACAAGATTCTGGAAGAACTCTACAGTGTAAATAGCACTTGAACAGTTTCGCAACATCAATCCTTCCGGGTTAAAACAACACAGCGGACCGCTTGGCTAAGGAGGTTGTGGACTTGGAGAAGCACGTGGACAACGGGTATATATCGATAGCGGTCTCTATGGGGAATAGGAACAGGAATAGATTTAAGAAAGGAGGGCTCCCACGATCGAGCCCTGCCTGCCGCACGCCCCAGCTTTACGGCCCTGGACCCAGTCCACTTCCTTACTCACAGCCTAGCCACTCGTAGCTAGTGACACAGAAGATAGCATGGCTTCCGAGGTAGCGAACAATAAGGATATAGAGTGACGGGAAACCGTGATCTATATACGGATTAACTGCCTCCAGCTGAGCGGGCTACACCAGGAAATGCGAGGGAAGATTCGAGGAGCGTTCATTAGTTGTTTGAAATATGCTGGCAGGATCAGACCAAGGCAAGGAAGATACTAGACCACAAGATGTGCCACAGAACAATGGCGTCTTAAAGTGCGGCATTGGGCTAAGCAGAAGCATCGCAGAGATGAGGACTGCAGAACAGAGCATTGAGCATGGGCCATAGATTGATAGCTGCAGCTCGATCCTGTATATGACCAAGGCGAGGGGCCAGCGCATGATTCACCATCGACGGTAGCGCAAGTAGCGGTGAGAATTGTAAATAGATACTGTGGCTGGCTGAATGCAGATATTGAGCCAGCTGAACTATGAGGAAAGTTAAGGACTGGACTACAGCTGGAAAAAGATATGGGCCTAAGTTATTGGGTAGGGACCGCGCGGAAAAAGACTCCGGGCTACAAATTTATTGGGAGGGGCGGCCCCGTAGTAGGATTGTTGTTAAGGCTTCGATCGTCTTGATAACCAGTACTAATAAAATCAATCATGAGGATAATTTCTGATTAGTGCGTCAAGATGTAATTCTGCAAGAGGGGCCGCGAAGAAACACTGGAAGGCTGGGAGAGAAGTGAGCTCCTCCAGTCTGGTGTAGCCACGAGCTAACGCCTCGAATGGGTCGTATCGCCAGAGAGGTATTTTCTAAATAGATCACTTTGATCCAGAGGCCAGTACTCTGCTGGGCCCAGCTACTAGCAAATGCATCTCGTATTATGGTAAGATATCTGTTTCGCTGACTGGCGGCATCCATTCTGCAACTAAGCAAGACTAGATATGCAGGTTTCGCTGGCAACAGATATCCATCGGGGAATAAATGGCTGCACATGTACCCGCTCTTTCATTAGAAGCACAAACTGGAGGCCGAACGATTTATGTATCTACTTACGTATTTTAGTTATGACCTAACTTTGTTGCTGACTACAGACTGATATTGAATGTCTTGGAGTGAACCGAAAAAAGATAGGTATACAGGTGAAGAATCCAACCTACGCCAGGAACCTCATTTGAGTTCTGTAAAATCAAGCCTAGTTAGTTTTCTTCCTTGTACTGCAGTAGTCAAAACCTCGCAATGCCCGCTACCCTTTCTCATGATGATTCATGAGCTATGGAAAAACAAGCTGAGATCCGCAGCCACCATCCGTTTTATGTGTCCACCATCT